CGGCGGGGCCGAGCCGGGTCAGGGAAGCCGTCGCGGGGCCGCGAGGTCCCCGGGAATGAGGGAGACGGGCGAGCCTCGCGGGCCACGCGCGGGGGCCGAGGTGGAGGTGGGCAGGGGGCCGGGGCGCGCCATTCCGCCCAGCCCCGGCCCGGGTGGCATCTCCCCTCCCCATCAGCCGGGGCAGAAAGCCCCTCCACCCCCGTTTGTGCACTCCAGACCCCTCTCGGCCCAGGCCAGGCCCTCCCTCCCCCCACCAGCCAGCAGCCCAGAACCTGGCCGTGTGTCAGCGGCAGATCTCGGTGCCCAGCGCAGGTAAGCCTGGCCTGTCCATGTGGCTTTGAGCCCTGCAAGTGACACTCAGAGACCCCCTAGCATCAATCCGGGTTACCCCCAGAGTGGATCTCCAAGACCCCAAGACCACGGTACTCCCCATGTAGACCTCACGCCCCCCCGCCCCCATCAGCGTAAGATCCCTACATCTTCCAGGCCCCCTCGTCAGCCTGGGTCTCCCATTTGTTCCAGGTCCCCACATGAGGACATCATCCCCCCACATGGGCCCCCTTTCAGCTAGGAGCCCCACTTTACCCCCTCTAGGTCCCCCATCAACTCAGCTTCTCCCTGCGTAGACTTCATCCCAGGACCCTGGAGGGTGCTGAGGGGCTGCGGTTCTTCACCCGGGAGAATCTGCCTGGGGCGCACTTCCCTGCTCACCGGAGAGAAGGGTAAGGTCTGAGATCCCAGAGCGCAAGGACTGCTTGAACCTGTGAAGCTGCGAGACGGGCCCTTTTTCTTTTTCAAAAGTACACGTATGAAAGTGTTACTACAGCATAAGAGTATTTTTGCCTGTGGTCTCAGCAGGGGTGACGGAGCTTGTAAACGCCCAGTCAGGCTGCCGGCGGCAAGAAGCAGGCTCGAGGACTGCGGGCAGGGCACAGCCCTCGTGAGTCGCCCTCCCTGCGTCTGTACACCTCCCTTCCTGATTGTAAAACCCACACACGTGCACATGAAAAGTTCTCCAGAGGATCAAGAAGGAAAAAGTCACACGGAATACTCCTCCACTTTTCACTTGTCATAAGCATTTCCCATGTCATTAAAAATCCTTCCTAAATGTTTTTGTTCTTTTTTTTTTTTTTCTTCATGATGAAGGTCAAACATCAATATACCATTTGGGGGAGATTAAGGGAAGTATGAAGAACATAGCATTTGGCTGGCCGCCCTTGGGCCTTTCCCAGCGGCCCTTTTTGGGACGCTCATATATCATTTTACATCCCACTTTCCCCTGTACCTCATATCATCTGTATGTCACGTCTGCTTCCCTTGAGCATGTTATGTTACCGTGCATTTTGCAGTCATAAATTCTGCGCCATGTGATGGGAGGGTAGTTGATCTCACCAGGCTTGACTGTTGGGCACTTTTGTTGTGATTCTTGGTGCCTAAATCTTTGTCCCAATTTCAGATAAATCCCACAGCATGCGAACTTCCAGAATGGTCTTGATATACAAGCTGCCATAGTCCTTTCCAGAAAGGTCGTGCCAGTTTGTATGTTCGCCATTGGATCAGCACACAGGACAAGTGTTTAAAAAAAAAAAAATCTGCTCATTTTTATTTTTACAACTTTGTTTTCTTCAGTTATATGTTCACTATGGGAAGCTTGGAAAACGCACAAAATGCTATTTTTTCACTGCCCTTCCCACTTTCCCTCTGTTTTTAAAGTCTCTTCCCCCCCTTGTCCTCCTTACCGCCTCCTCCCTCAGCCTTAACTTAGAAAAGGCAAGAAAGACGGCAGAGGCAGGGCAGGAGGCCCCTGTTGTGCTATTACATAGCGTATCTGGCTGTTTCCATTTAAAGGGAATTTAAAGTCCAGTTCCTTATTTCAAGTGCTCAGGAGCCACATATTAGCTGGTGCCTACCATGCTGGATGGCACAGATGGAGACCATTTCCAACCCCACAGGAAGTTCTGAGGGGCAGTGCTGGCTACTCCCAGGGCAGGAATCCAGTTCCCCTAGATGCTCAGTAAACCATGTGTTGAATGACTAAATGAGTGAAGGAGGCAGATGTGTGCTAAGTTAAGGAAATGAGATACGTTCACAATGAGGTAAGAGTCGTGAAGACAGCACAACGAAGATGAGAAAAGGGTGATGGCCTGAGCCAGCGCATGGTGACATCCTGCTGTGGTGACAGCTGGGCTGGGAAGAACATCAGAGAGTAGTGTGGGTGGGAACAGCAGGTACGAAGGTCCTGGGGTGACCAGTGCCTTGTCTTCAACACGATGTAACCCATGAGGGTCATATGGAAGATTAGGTCAGAATGAGATGGGGAGGGCTCGGGTCAGTTCCTTGGGAACTAGAGGTCAGGGCAAGGAGGGGGGGAGTGAGGGGAGTCCTGAGCAAGGTGGTGGCCACCATCTGACGTGGCCACTTTGCGCCTGCCCCTCTCTGCAGGCCCCTGACTGCTGACTGCATCCGCCTGCTGCCACCTGGGTTTGTCTGGAGCTGCTGGGACTGTCCTGGGATCCAGCCTGCTTGCCCCCTGAGGCCGGAGAGATGCTCCCATTGGCCAAAGCCCTCGCCTCCCCCAGGAATCCCCAGCCCCCCGCCCTGGGGGAGCAGGACGGGGCTCCTCAGCCGGCCAGCCCCGGGGATACTGAGGCCTGGCGCCGGCGGTTCCGACAGTTCCAGTACCGCGTGGCAGGCGGGCCACACCGTGCACTGGGTCAGCTCTGGATGCTGTGTCGTCAGTGGCTGCGGCCCGAGGCGCACTCCAAGGAGCAGATGCTGGAGCTGCTGGTGCTGGAGCAGTTCCTGGGTGCGCTGCCCAGCAAGATGAGGACCTGGGTGCAGTCGCAGGGCCCCCGAACCTGCAGGGAGGCCGCTACCCTGGTGGAGGACCTCACACAGATGTCGCAGCAGGAAGGTGAGGGGACGGGCCTCATCCCTAAGAGCGAGTGGCTGCCGGGGGGAGCAGGTGCCGGGTTTGGGTTCTGGCCAATGTCTCCATGGCCCGGTGCCCAAGGATCGCGCTTCTTTTTCCTTTCGGACTCAGAGTGTCGCATCCACCCAGCACTGCTCCCACCCACCCCCCACCCGCTCCTGTCCCGTTCCCTCTCCCGACAGCGGCGCCCCAGGCCATCCGAGCAAACCCCCTGCCTGCAGTGTCCGCCAGTGCACATTGTCGTATCACACACCTGTGTTTTTCTTTGTTTTACATAAATGTCATTGTGCTGCACGCCTCTGTCTGCCTCACTTCTCTCGCTCAGTCGGTAGTTGAGGATTTCTCCATTTTACCATGTGTCCATCTGGCCTGTGGCTTTGCATTTGTCTGCTCTCCCTCAGAAGGACCCCAGGTCTCTCAGCCCACACGAGGTGCTGTGAACCATGTCCCCCCACCCCCTACCCCAGGTCCTGTCGAGGAGTCCCGGAGGTTACCAGTCCTCCCCTGCATCCAGTCCATGGGGCGCAGACCCGTCCCAAAAGCCCAACAGCTGGTTATGGAGACTGACGCCTAGGTCCACAGTTGTCACAGAATGGGTGTTGGAAAGAGCTCAGCAGACAGAGGGGTCTCAGGTAGCTGCAAGGTCTGCAGGTGAATCTGACACCGCCTCTCTCCCTCGGCTCCCCTTTCTCCTGCAGGGGCTTTGTCCTCCTGCTTTCTTGCCCCTGGGACCCTGTGTAGAATTGCCATCCTCCCAAGCCCCAGTCCCAAGGAATGGGGCTCCCTCTTTCCTAGTAATGTCAACAGAAGTGCAGACCCCGTCACATCTGGAGGAGGTCAACCCTCGGCCTGGCACAGGTGCTGTGATCAGGGTGTCTTCAGACCCTAGGTTCAGAAAAGCCTTGAAATCTACAGAAAACAGGGTTCCCAGGTCTCCACACTGCCCGCAGGAAGCAGGCTAACATGCTCGGGAAAGTTTTGCATGTTGCATTTTGCAGAGGCAAGAAGAGCATAGTCCAAGTTGGAAGGCACTGATTGGCGTCATGGAGTCTTGTTCCCAGGTTCCTGGGGAATCATGAAGACGTGCAAGGCAGATAAAGTGGCCCTTGGAACTCACTGTTCCAGGAACCAAGGGGCCAGAAAGCTTTTGTGTCTGGCCCTAGGTGGACCCATACAGCACCCAGGGCCTCAAGCTTAGGAGGCCCAGGCTGGTGTTAATGCTTTGCTGTCGCCATCTTGAGGTTCCCTATCATTTTTCAACAAGGGGGTCGCGTACATATTTTGCATGGAGCCAGGCTGTGGTCCTATGGACAGGGAGGTAGTTGGAGTAGCAGGTGGCTGGGCCTGATAAAGCATCTCTACCTGCATGTGAATGCCTGGAAGTCAGGGACACAGGCAGGAGGCATCTGCATGCTGCTGTCTCAAGATTGGGCTTTATTCCTTGGGAAAGGAAGCTCCTGGCAGTGGGTATAGAATGGGAAGGAGCAGGAAGAGATGTGCACTGAGGGAAGGGAGCCTAGGGGCTGGCTGGGGCAGGGCTGTGGGTGGGGTGCCTGAAGCCCAGATGGAATCCAGCAGGAGCCTGGCTCTCCTCTTTCCTGTGGGTGGCCCTCTCCAGTCACCGTGGTGCAAGTGCAGGGTGAAGACAGACCCAATATTTCCACTTGAAGTCCCTGATGGCTGGTGTCTGGAAAAATAACTGAACAGAACAAGTCTCTCCCCATCTTAGTCCATGGTGTATCCCTCCCTCTGGCCCAGCGGTACACCTGGATGCAGAGGAGTGTCATGCCCATTACAGCCTATTTATTGATATTGATGCTCTCAGGCACAAGAGGGAGAGCACTGGGAGAGAGAGCCTGCACCTGGGGCCCTGCCTTTATTGGGGGGAGGCTATCTAGGGTCTCAGAGGTATAGTCTAAAGACTATACTGGCTAATTTAAAGCAGAAGAGTGGGAATTAGGATGTGAGTAGGGAGAAGTGAGTCACCCAAACTGTCAGTTATCTAGACCACCCAAGGCTTTCTGAATGAGGGACCTCCATGAGTGGGGGCAGCCCAATTCCTTATCTGGTTTTTTGCTAGTAGCTTTGTCATACAGCTGCAAATATGTTTATTCCAGATGGAGGTCTTTGAAATGGATGCCTCAGCAATCAAAAGTTTAATGTCAGGCCCAGCTCCGTGCACTCCCCACACCCATCATCCTATCCTCTGTCCACACGGCTGCAAAGGGAGTGATCAGCTCCTCCCATGTCAGCCCGGCAGTGGGGCTGACCCCAGATCCCTGTCCTGGCTGTGTGCCTTGATCATCTGCCTCTAGGGCCTCACCTCCCTATAACAGCCCTGAAGCCTTGACCCTCAGTGGATCCAGGGGTAGCCAGCTCATCATCTAGGCCTGGTTCAGACATCCATCCCTCTGAGAGGCTACCACGCAGGACCTCACTCATGTTCTCAAAGGTCCTAACCTCTCTGTGACTTTATAGGGTTTATCCTTTCCCTGTGTGTCTGTTCTCTGTCCTAGTTTATGTGAGCTTCATGAGATCAAGAGCTCTGCATCCACTTTCAGGTGGTTTCTGGAGACTGGATAGTACCAGACACCTAGTGGGTACACAGCCAATACAGAAGGGGAAGGTGTGGGTGAACAGAAACGGCAGCAAGAACCAAGGATGGGCATTTGGCAAGTAGCAGGCACTGTTGGGTATACTGTACAAAGTAAGCGTCCAACTTTGTTCTTTTGCACATGGATTACCAGTTGTCCCAGCACCACTGTTGAAAAGACTCTTCTTTCCCCTACTGAATGGTTCTGGCACATTTGTGAAAAACCAGTTGGCCAAAGATATGTGGGCTTAGTTCTGGACTCTCAATTCCTTTTAATTCTATATGTCTGTCTATATGCCAGCACTGTAGCTCTGTAGTAAGTTTTGAAATCAGGAGGTATGTGTCTTCCAACACTGTCCTATTTTAGGACTGTTTTGGCTATTCTGGGTCCCTTGGAATTTCATATAAATTTTAGAAGCAGCTTTTCCATTTCTGCAAAAAGAAGAAAAAAAGACTGTTGGGGTTTTGATAGGTATTGCATTGGACCTATAGATCACTATGTAGTGTTGCCATCTTAACGGTATTAAGTCTTCCAATCCATGAACGCAGAATGTGTTTATTAATAATAATAATCAATGATGTTATTTATTTAGATTTTCTTTAATTCCTTTCAGTAGTAGTTTTCCAGTTTTCAGTGTAGTAGTCTTGTATCTCCCAGGCTAAATTTATTCCTAAGTATTTTATTCTTTTTGATTCTATAAGTAGAGTTGATTCTTTTTGTTGCAAATGAAATCTTCTGAGTTTCCTTTTTGGGTTGTTCATTGATGTTTTATAGAAACAACTAATTTTTATGTGTTGATATTGTATCCTGTAACTGTTGAATTCACTTATTAGCTCATGCCATCTGTGAATAGAGATAGTTTTTCTTCTTCCTTTCCAATGTATTTATTTTTTAAGAGATTTATTTTTATTTTTTTAAAGATTTTATTTATTTATTTGACAGAGAGAGACAGCAAGAGAGGGAATACAAGCAGCGGGAGTGGGAGAGGGAGAAGCAGGCTTCCCGCTGAGCAGGGAGCCTGATGTGGGCTTGATCCCAGGACCCTGGGATCATGACCTGAGCCAAAGGCAGACGCTTAACGACTGAGCCACCCAGGTGCCCTAAGAGATTTTATTTTTAAGTAATCTCTACCCCCAATGTGGGGCTTGAACTCACAACCCTGAGATCAAGAGTTGCATGCTCTGTTGACTGAGCCAGCCAGGTGCCCCTTCCTTTCCAATTTAGATGACTTCCCCCGCCCTTTTTCTTGCCTAATTGCTCTGGCTAGAACTTCCAGTACAATGTTTTGTTTTGTTTTTGTTTTTGTTTTTTAAAGATTTTATTTATTTATTTGACAGAGAGATTGATAGCGAGAGCAGGAACACAAGCAAGGGAAGTGGGAGAGGGAGAAGCAGGCTTCCTGCCAAGCAGGGAGCCCGATGCGGGACTCAATCCCAGGACCCTGGGATCATGACCTGAGCCGAAGGCAAACGCTTAACGACTGAGCCACCCAGGCGCCCTACAATGTTGAATAGAAGTGGTAACAGCAAACATCCTTGCCTTGTTCTTGATTGGGGGGAAGCTTTCAGTCCCTCATAATTACGATGTCTTTATCATTAGAGGGTACTGGATTATATCAAATGCTTTTTCTGCGTCAACTGAGATGATCATGTGGTCTACTAATATGGTGCATTACATAGCTTGATTTTGATGTATTGAACCACATAACAGTTTGATTATAGTGTGTCTCAGTGTGGATCTCTTTGAGTTTATCCTATTTGGAGTTTGTTCAGCTTCTTTGAACGTACAGATTTGAGTATTTTATCTATTTTAGGAAGTTTCCCGCCATTGTTTTTTCAACTATTTTGTCTCTCTGTCTTCCTCTAGGATTCCTGTTATGTGTCTGTTAGTATGTTTTATGGTGTCCCACGAGTCCCTCAGTCCCTGTTCATTCTTCTTCTGTTCCTCAGACTGTATAATTTTAATTGATCTATCTTCAAGTTTACTGATCCTTTTCTCTGCCAGCTTAAATCTGAGGTTGAATACCCCTAGCAAACTTTTCATTATAGCTATTGTACTTCTCTGCTCCAGAATTTCTGTTCAGCTCCTTTATATAATTTCTCCTTATTGATATCCTTTATTTGTTGAGAACAACATTCTCCTGATTTTTGATAGTTCTTTGTTCATGGATTCCTTTAGCTCTTTGAGGGTATTTAAGACAGTTGATTTAAAATCTTTGTCTAGTAAGTCCAATGTCTGCACTTCTTCAGGGACAGTTTCTGTTAATTTCTTTTTATTCCTCTGAATGAGATATATTTTCTTGGGTCTTTGCATGCTTCTTAATTTGTTGTTGGGAACTGGGCATTTTTAATATTTGATAATATAATGTGATAACTCTGGAGATCAGATTCTCTTCCCTCCCCAGGTCTTGTTTATGCTGCTTACTGTGGGTTGTTAAGTGTTTATTTTGGAAATTTTTCTTTCTTTTTTTAAAGATTTTATCTATTTATTTGAGAGAGAGAGTGCACAAGAAGGGGGAGGGACAGAGGGAGGGGGAAAAGCAGACTCCCCACTGAGTAGGGAGCCTGATGCAGGGCTCAATCCCAGGACCTTGGGATCATGACCTGAGCCAAAGGCAAATCCTTAATTGACTGAGCCATTCAGATGCCCTATTTTGGAGACTTTTCTAAACTATTTTTGTAAATGCTACATTCTTTATTGTATGTGCTCACTAAAGTTTCTGTTTCATTAATTTAGTGTTTAGCCAGAGATGTGACAGAAATTTCCTTAAATGACTGGAGCTAACAAAACAAAACCCTCCTGGTTTTTGTAGGTAGGCTCTGAGTTGAGGTACTCCTTCAATGCTTAGCCTCTCCATTTACAACTCTCCTGAGCCTTGACTTCCTGTTACATGGGGCCTAAAGATCAATCAGAGAGGAAGGCTTGGGATCTTCTCATGTTTCCTACCATGTGTTTAGTCCTGATCATATGCATGGCCGCTAGACTCTCTGGTAAAGCCTTTATTTCCACATGTACCTCTTTCTCCAGCCTGCTCTTTCCTAGGCTTTTTTGGTCTCTCTGCTGTTTGCTCCATCTGTCATCCCTGCCCAGGTGGTTGTGGCTAGTGTATGCCTTCAAATGCTTTTGACAAATGCTGCTCAGGAGGCCACTCCAGTCCTGAGGGTTCTGAGAGGGCCTAACAAAGGTAAACCCCCGAACTAATCCTCCAGGGAGTCACCAGACAGGTCACCAGACAAACATACAAATGCAATGCTTTGGGAACAAGATCTGTCCTGTCCCCTGTGGCTTCAGCAAGCCACACCAATAACATGGACTGCCATTCACACAGCCCCTCCTAGCTGCAGAATGGGGTTGGTAGGCGGGTAAGTAAAATGCCACAACACCTTCTAGTTGAAATTTAATAGCTTTTTTCTACTAAGCATTCCCTCATCCTTGTTTTCTTTTCTTCTTCTTCTTTTTTTTTTTTTATCAGATTCAAGTTCCCAAAAAGTTAACTCTGAAAGTTTTTGCTGGCTTAATTATTGCTTCAGGGGAGGGACTGATTTGGGGAGCTCCCTATTCTGCCATTTTTGGCAATGTTATCTGTTTGCTTTTTAAAAATAATGTTATTGAAACATAATTCCCATACCATATAATTCACCCACTTAAAAAAAATGCAATTCAGTGATTTTTGAGTATATTTACAGAGTTGTGCAACCATCATCACCATCTAATTCCAGGACATTTTATTCACCCCAAAAGGAAACCTCAGACCATTAGCAGTCACTCCCCATTCTTCTCTCCTCACAGCCCCTGGCAATCACTAATCTACTTTTTTGTCTTTATGGATTGCCTGTTCTGTACATTTCATATAAATGAAATCATATAATATGAGGCCTTTTGTGTCTGGCTTCTTTTACTTAGCATAAGGTTTTCGGGGTTCATCCATGTTGTAAAATATATCAGTACTTCATTCTTTTTATGGCTGAATAATATTCCATTGGATGGATATACACTGTTTCTTCGTTCACCATTTGATGGACATTTGGGTTGTTTCTACTTTTTGGCTATGATGAACAATGCTGCTATGAACATTCACATACAGATATTTGTGTGGACATGTTTTCATTTCTCTTAGGAACACACCTAAGGAGGAGAAGTACGGGGTCATATGGTAACTCTATGTATAACTTTTTGAGGAACTGCCAAATTGCCTTCCAAAGCAACTGTTTGCTTTTTATAGAACACATTTTCAGCCTACAAAACTGTACGAAAAGTACTATAATGAACACCCATATAACTGCCATGAAGCCATCTCAGAGCCTAACCTCCTGAAAGGCAACTTAGGTTGTTATTTAAAGAAATGACACATTGTGGAGTTCACTAGGTCCACCGTGCAGGTCTCCTCCACATTCCTCTTGCCCAGCTCGCCCTGCTGCCCCAGAGTGGGGCAAGGCCTTGAATTTCTCATTGCATGTGCATGTTTGTACTTTTTCCTCTTATTTTGTATCCATAACAGTGTATGGCTCTGTTTCCCACGTCCTGAACCTATAAATGGTGTCCTTCCGTAACTGTTATCCTGCCCTGGTTTTTGTCCCCCTCCAATGTGTTTTGTGGTAGATCCATGGGGCCCTGCTTCAACTATCTTTGCTACCTGACTGCATTCCACTTCAGTAGGATTCCAGTTGTGGGATGAGGCCCCTGTCCAGGCTTTCCATGTTAGTCAGTACTGCAGGAAATGTCCTCATGGGCCTCTCAGGGGCACACATGGGCATGGAGTGTTGGGTGAGAAGACCCATGCTCAGCTGCTTCTTGTGTCACCGGGGCCTCATGACTGGCAGCCCTAGAAAGGTCTGGAGCAGGGGGTGGGGCTGCATTTGAAGCTTGTTGGAAGGATACAGGCAGTGACATACCATTGCTCTTGCCCTGGCCTCCCTGGGGTCTTCAGAGATGTTCCTGGGATTGGCTGCCCCCCCGTGCAGGAAATCTGGGGATTTAGGGGCTCTGGGGCACACAGGCCTCTCACCATCCCTTTCTCCCGCCCAGTTCTGGTATCTCTCACCGACCACCAGGACAAGAGCATCAGCGAGGAGGAAGACGGGAAGAGCCCGAGGTCCCAGAAAGACCCATCCCAGGTGAGCCCAGGGCCCCTGGCTCCATGCTCCTACATTCCTGGGGCACCATGAGCATCAATGCTGTGACAGGCTGAAGGACATCCCACCCAAGCTCTGTGCAAGGCTGTCCCAACACTCCCAGGAAGCCTGAACTCCACACCTCTCACCTGTCCCACAAATCCCAGAACTTGCTGCAGCTCAGCGCTGGGCAAAATACAGTTAATAGGGTTGTGCTTTGCTGCAGGCCATCTTCATCCCCCTCCACCCAGGCCCTCTGCTAGTCCTTTACCAGGCACCAGCCAGATGCTGAGGTCCCCATCCTCGTGTATAATCCACAACCACATGCTGTGTATATTGAAAGATTTCTGGTGCTGCCACATAGGAGCTGGGGTGCCCTCGCCCAGACGCCATCCGTAGTATTAGTATCTGTAGTAGTCTCATACCCGAGAAGCCTGTGGATTCTTGGAGGGGCTGGGAAAGACTCCAAGAGGGCGTCCCCGACAGCAAGATCTATTCTTGCACAGGCCCCAAGTGAGAGGGGACCATGGTGTATGTCAGGGACCAAGGGAAACTTGGTGTGGCTGGAGCTCACAGAGTGATGGGGACAGGCCCCCAGCACAGACTAGAGTGATTAAAACAGTGGGGACCAGACAATGTAGATTTGTTAACAGGCAAAACACAAAAGAAAAAAAAACCAAACCACATTCCCTTCCCTCTGGCATCAGGCAGATTCACCCTTCCCTCTGGCATCAGGCACCTTGCGCTCACCTCCTGTGGCCTCTGTGACCTCACCCTTCTTCAGACCACAGGCCCCTTCTGTCTCCCACTAGTTTGCCACTCTCTCAAATGTTAACCCCCGATGCCAAGACCTGTCAGGACCTTCATCCCCTGCACATGACTGTCAGTCTGGGTGTCCTTGAGACATCCTACCTCTCTCTTATATGGGGGTCGTGTGGCCTCCCTCGGTCATGACCAATACTTCTATCTTCCCCTCCCAAGCCCCTCCACTCCATTCACAAGCAACCTCAAAGCATCTTTGGCTTCCTTTTGTCTTCTATGTCCATGCTCAGAGAGAAAAAGAATAGGAGTCATATGCTTCCCTTTTAAAAATGGGAATGTTACAATGAGCACATGGAAAGATGCTGAAAATCACTAGCCATCAGGGAAATGCAAATTAAAACCATGATGAGGTATCACTACACTCCTACTGGGATCGCTAAAAGTAGAAAGAGGGACAGCAGCAAGTGCTGGCAAGGATGTGGAAAAACTGGAACTGTTTCATTGCTGGTAGGAAGGCGAAGTGGTAAAACCAATCTGGAAAACGGTTTGGTTGTTTCTTACAAAGTTAAGTATACGCGTGACACATGACCCAGCAATCCCACTCCTGGGATTGGGTGTTTAGCCAGATGAAACAAAAACTTATGTTCCTACAAAAACCTGGACACAAATATTCACTGCAGCTTTGTTTGTAATAGCCCCAAACTGGAAACAACCCACATGTGCGTGTGACTGGATAAACAATCATTTATCCTGCACACCATGGAAAACTACCCAGCAATATAATGGAAGAAACTCTTGATTCACACACAACTTGGATGGATCTGAAGGGCACCATGCTGTCAAAACAGTTAATCTCAAAAGGTATCCCATTTATATGACATTCTTGAACAGACAAAATGATAGCCACAGAGAACAGATCAGTGGTTGCCAGGCAGGAGCTCTGGGTGGAGGGAAAATGTGACTATACAGGGTAGCATGAGGGAGGTTTCTCTGGGTGGCGAACCTTCTGGTCCTGATTGTGGTGGTAGTTCCACGAATCTATATACATGTTAAAATTAACAGACCTGGACATGCACACACACACACAATCAATCAATCAATTCTATATTATTAAGTAAAATTAAGTTAAAGGAACCATTAAAAAATGATAATATTTCCCATTAAGCCAAAGTCCAGTCCCTTCTGTGTTCCCAGAGACCATCCCCTCTTATGATGCTGGGGTCTAGTATCATTCTGAGGTTTTTTGATTTGCATGCCTGGTTTTTTGAAGGACCCACTAGTCTGAATCTTGTTTCTTCTCTGGCTACTATGTTCTGCCTGGAAACCATTTTCATTCTTTAGTTGATAATAACAGAAAAAAGACATCTAAACAAAAACATGAGACAAAAGATGAGTAACGCACCCACTGCTCTGCAGAAGAGCTCAGCCCACCAAAGAAACACCTGTGTACCTTCGTAGACCTCAGCAGCAGATCATCCCCATCCTTGAATTCACCTGCATGAATCTCTCTATCTCTGACCTGCTATGGCTGGGGAAGAAAAAAGTTATTGTCTTGTTTTAGGCTTGCAGGAGGAAATATCTTCTTTTTTTTTTTTAATTTTTTTTTTAAGATTTTATTTATTTATTTGAGAGAGAATGAGAGACAGAGAGCATGAGAAGGAGGAAGGTCAGAGGGAGAAGCAGACTCCCTGCTGAGCAGGGAGCCC